TAACTACAGTAAAGTACCTAATTACAGTAGAATACCTAACTGTTAACATATATCTTGGTCATCTACTTGTATGTATTGTATAAACTTCATGTAGCGAGACCAATCACAGCAGGCAGCATCCTAGACGACCAATCACAGTGCAGGAACAACTAATTACAGAGCATGCAGCATCCTAGACGACCAATCACAGTGCAGGAACAACTAATTACAGAGCAGGCAGCATCCTAGACGACCAATCACAGTGCAGGAACAACTAATTACAGAGTAGGCAGCATCCTAGACGACCAATCACAGTGCAGGAACAACTAATTACAGAGCAGGCAGCATCCTAGACGACCAATCACAGTGCAGGAACAACTAATTACAGAGCAGACAGCATCCTAGACGACCAATTACAGTGCAGGAACAACTAATTACAGAGTAGGCAGCATCCTAGACGACCAATCACAGAGCAGGAACAACTAATTACAGAGCAGGGCAGCATCCTATACGACCAATCACAGTGCAGGAACAACTAATTACAGAGCAGGTAGCATCCTAGACGACCAATCACAGTGCAGGAACAACTAATTACTGAGCAGACAGAATCCTAGACGACCAATTACAGTGCAGGAACAACTAATTACAGAGTAGGCAGCATCCTAGACGACCAATTCACAGAAAAGGGAACAACTAATTACAGAGCAGGCAGCATCCTAGACGATCAATCACAGTGCAGAACAACTAATTACAGAGCAGGCAGCATCCTAGACGACCAATCACAGTGCAGGAACAACTAATTACAGAGCAGGCAGCATCCTAGACGACCAATTACAGTGCAGGAACAACTAATTACAGAGCAGGCAGCATCCTAGACGACCAATCACAGTGCAGGAACAACTAATTACAGAGCAGGCAGCATCCTAGACGACCAATTACAGTGCAGGAACAACTAATTACAGAGCAGGCAGCATCCTAGACGATCAATCACAGAACAGGAAGAACTAATTACAGAGCAGGCAGCATCCTAGACGACCAATCACAGTGCAGGAACAACTAATTACAGAGCAGATAGCATCCTAGACGACCATTCACAGTGCATGAACAACTAATTACAGAGCAGGCAGCATCCTAGACGACCAATCACAGTGCAGGAACAACTAATTACAGAGCAGGCAGCATCCTAGACGACCAATCACAGTGCAGGAACAACTAATTACAGAGCAGGCAGCATCCTAGACGACCAATCACAGTGCAGGAACAACTAATTACAGAGCAGGCGCATCCTAGACGACCAATCACAGTGCAGGAACAACTAATTACAGAGCAGGCAGCATCCTAGACAAACCAATCACAGAGCAGAAACAACTAATTACAGAGCAGGCAGCATCCTAGACGACCAATCACAGTGCAGGAACAACTAATTACAGAGCAGGCAGCATCCTAGACGACCAATCACAGTGCAGGAACAACTAATTACAGAGCAGGCGCATCCTAGACGACCAATCACAGTGAGGAACAACTAATTACAGAGTAGGCAGCATCCTAGACGACCAATCACAGTGCAGGAACAACTAATTACAGAGCAGGCAGCATCCTAGACGACCAATCACAGTGCAGGAACAACTAATTACAGAGCAGGCAGCATCCTAGACGACCAATCACAGTGCAGGAACAACTAATTACAGAGCAGGCAGCATCCTAGACGACCAACCCACAGTGCAGGAACAACTAATTACAGAGCAGGCAGCATCCTAGACGACCAATCACAGTGGAGGAACAACTAATTACAGAGTAGGCAGCATCCTAGACGACCAATCACAGTGCAGGAATAACTAATTACAGAGCAGGCAGCATCCAAGACGACCAATCACAGTGCAGGAACAACTAATTACAGAGCAGGCAGCATCCTAGACGACCAATTACAGTACAGGAACAACTAATTACAGAGCAGGCAGCATCCTTGACGATCAATCACAGAGCAGGAACAACTAATTACAGAGCAGGCAGCATCCTAGATGACCAATCACAGTGCAGGAACAACTAATTACAGAGCAGGCAGCATCCTAGACGACCAATCACAGAGCAGGAACAACTAATTACAGAGCAGGCAGCATCCTAGACGACCAATCACAGTGCAGGAACAACTAATTACAGAGCAGGCAGCATCCTAGACGACCAATCACAGTGCAGGAACAACTAATTACAGAGCAGGCAGCATCCTAGACGACCAATCACAGCGCAGGAACAACTAATTACAGAGCAGGCGGCATCCTAGACGACCAATCACAGAGAAGGAACAACTAATTACAGAGCAGGCAGCATCCTAGACGACCAATCACAGTGCAGGAACAACTAATTACAGAGCAGGCAGCATCCTAGACGACCAATCACAGTGCAGGAACAACTAATTACAGAGCAGGTGCATCCTAGACGACCAATACAGTGCAGGAACAACAAATTTTACTGAGCAGACAGCATCCTAGACGACCAATTACAGTGCAGGAACAACTAATTACAGAGAAGGGCAGCATCCTAGACGACCAATCACAGTGCAGGAACAACTAATTACAGAGCGGGCAGCATCCTAGACGACCATCACAGTGCAGAACAACTAATTACAGAGCAGGCAGCATCCTAGACGACCAATTACAGTGCAGGAACAACTAATTACAGAGCAGGCAGCATCCTAGACGACCAATCACAGTGCAGGAACAACTAATTACAGAGCAGGCAGCATCCTAGACGACCAATTACAGTGCAGGAACAACTAATTACAGAGCAGGCAGCATCCTAGACGATCAATCACAGAACAGGAAGAACTAATTACAGAGCAAGCAGCATCCTAGACGACCAATCACAGTGCAGGAACAACAAAATTACAGAGCAGATAGCATCCTAGACGACCATTCACAGTGGCATGAACAACTAATTACAGTGCAGGCAGCATCCTAGACGACCAATCACAGAGCAGGAACAACTAATTACAGAGCAGGCAGCATCCTAGACGACCAATCACAGTGCAGGAACAACTAATTACAGAGCAGGCAGCATCCTAGACGACCAATCACAGTGCAGGAACAACTAATTACAGAGCAGGCGGCATCCTAGACGACCAATCACAGTGCAGGAA